AGTGGCCTTTATAACGCGTTGGACGTAATACTTGAAAATGTGAATAAGTGCCTGATACGATTCAAAAGCAAATATTTCCTCCACCATAGTACCATCTTCGGCAAAAAAAATATCGATAAATACGCTTTTGATAATACCATATATATTGATAATTTATATTGATAAATAATACCATACCAATACCAATACACCCGCGTTAACAAATTTGCGAAACTTGTTCGAGAAACCACCATAATAATTGTGATTTGATTAATATATATAAAAATGGCACCTATCGCACTTAGGAAATATCATTAACTGCGACGGACGTGAGGGTGTGATGAATTGAAATAAAAATACGTGAAGTGTAGTTCGTAATAGAACATATCTATTTATGTATTAATATAATTGCTTTAACATTTTCTTTTATTTTCTAAAGGCAATAGAATAGCCTTTATTACTTACAGATGAAATCGCGTATTTTTATCTAATATATAACCACTTATTGGATGTAATTCATCAAGAACAGATAAAAGGGCCTACCGTATTGCGTTGTAACCGATTTAGTAGATTGCGGCCATTACCTAAGGATGCTTGAATTGTTCGGATTTGAAATCAGTAGTCATAAAATAAATCTCCGAAATTCTACCTTTATTTTACAAAAGGTTTTATTTAAAAACTTCTTGAACACATGAGAAAAGCAGTGTATTTGAAATTATAATGATTTTGGTAAGAACCTCTTTCGTTTCGTTACATAATTGGTCAGTCACTAACCCCATTCTGATTACCTGGGACAGGTAGAAAAGGAACCGAACATGGGTTACGGAAATTGAATCCAGATAAATTATATGTTATTGATTACTTTAGTGTACGGGTACGGTTGTTAATATATATATATAAAAAGGGACCACGTAGTGTCAGATCAATGATAACGTATCTTCAGTATGTCGAATACTTCTAAGTATAACTCCATCCTATTTACTTAGACAAGATAAAATTAAAATAGCTCGTCATGTATATCCATTATTATTATATTGAGGTTTTCTAGTTGAACTTTTTTGTCGTTAGCTGTCTCAATTAATACCTATTTATGCTTTAGATATGTATCTCAAGGATTACTAATATTAAAACCCAAATGAGCGGGAACCAGATTTTATGTGTCTTAATTCTTTTTTACATTTCTTCAATTCGTAAAACACACGTTTGAGATCCCTTGAGTAATAAAAGTGTTGCAACTATGTTCTTAATATCTCCGCTTATGTGTACCGGAGCAGTTAATGTACTCACTTCCACTTGAAAAATGTTACAATCTGTCGAGCGTGTGAGTCACACGATCTGATATAAGTAATACAGTGTATTAAGGCTTTATTGAAAAGATACCTTGGATGAGTTATCTTTAATAGTTGGATAATAAAGTATTTCTCAGGTGAAGTGTCGTCTTGAACATCGTCGTAACAATTCTTAGAGATACTCGGCGTGGTGGCTCTTTACGGGTTTTTATTTTTTTATTTTTATAATGCCACTTTAATTCCATATTACTACTACCCTATTATTAGATATTTGTAAACTGTCTCGTTGCCGATAGCTGTTTATCCTTATTTCAACTTTATGAATATTTATAAGATGACGTAGTAAATTGATACTTATAATTGATAATGAGTTCATGTTATAATAGGTAAAACTTTGCAATTCATTGACATAACTACGTAAATTAATAATGTACAGTGTACAGTTTTACACATACCAAAACAAATTTGATATTCAACATTTCCTATATAGTGTGTTATATATATTAAAATAGTATTAACATATGTATGAACTCCTAAAAAGTACATTTCTGTAGAAGTAATTAAAAAACCTTTAGAAATTATAATGCAACTCAAAAATAGTTTACGAAGAATTAATACAGTGAAACTGCCTTCCGTCAACTCGTTTAAATACGGCATCATTATTTCATGCGCCCGTTGAATATCTCCCCCAGTAATAAAAGCCTGTAACGTAACTGACACACAGTTTTATTTTTTCGATATTACATGGGTGGAGAGTGCTTAGTCTTTTTCAATATAATGTAAGGTGCCGAATGAAGGAAGAAATAATTAAGCGTAAAAACTGTAAGGACGCATGCTACATTTTACAATAAAAAAATAAAAAATCAGTGGCGCTACCTTTTTACCTTTTGAGGTCTGGGCCTCAAATGTATCTGTTTCATGATCATTTGTTAATCTAATATCAGCCTCCTGTGCCCGACGCACGCCGTCGACTGTTTGGCTCTAAGACATTTCGGTTTCCTCACGATGTTTTCCTTTACCGTTCGCGTAAATGTTAAAGGCGCACATTTGAAAGAAAGTCCATTGTTGCACAGCCGGGCATCGTACCAACGACCTCAGGAATGAGATGCACGCTGAAGCCACTAGGCCAACTCTGCTCATTTTACAATGTCCTTACATATTATAAAATGTAGCCACGTTTGTGTAGAAACAGATTTTTATACGGTTTTCACCGATAAATACTATATGTACCATTGAGGAGTATAGTTTTATGTACTTCGACTAAAATACAACGATGAATGTTGATGAGGTTGCAAAAAATATACACGAAGGAAGCTAGTTAAGTTTACGGACCTGTGCATTAATTTTCGATATCAAAGTAGCGTATTCAGAAATTCTTAATACCTCGTCATCAAATACGCGCAGCTGCTACACATTTTTTCAAACAATTTATTTGCGATTCTACAGAACCTTCGTAAATCCGGGGAGAATTTCCTGTAGAATTTCATCATTTGTAATCTGGAATCGTGACCAAGTTTACGAGGCGTAAAATGAAATATTCTGCAATTACAAGTAATGTTTCTTGAGTAGGTACAAAACTGTTTTGTTAGTAATTATCACAATTACTCCATAATTCTAATTGGGGATTCTTAATTGAGTTAACTCGAGATGCTCTCGCATGAAACGGGTAAACATTTGCTTTTTAAGAGTAATTTAGATAATTCAAAGTAATATCAAGTAAAGTTAAAACCTCAGGTAGAGTGTACCAATTCTAAAAAGGCCGGCAACGCACACGCGAGCCTTTTGACATTGTAATCAGCAGGTGAGGCTCCCTATAGTTTGCCTGAAAGCACGTTTAGAATTTTGTAAAAATTGTAACTTTTTTCGGGTAAACTGCATATACACTTATCATATTAAAATTAGCATATTTTTCATACTGAAGCGATTTGAAATGGAATATTGAAAAACCTTTTATTATAATACCATGACTTTCTAAAAGAAAATGAGAAAGCTAAATGAACAAATCGAGGATAAGGGTTTTAAGAAGTTTTTTGCTCTGAGCGTATAATCGTATTATGATGTTCAAAGGGAGAAAAACGTCTCTCATTACATAGAAGATTATTCTAATGAAAGGTACGCTTAATATCCTGCAATCTAGTACGTGATCCACAATAGTATGTGACACGAGCTATTCAGTTTGTCGCGATTGTCACAATGGGCGAATAAAGCTTTGTAATTAACGATTAATCAGAACTGGGAGGGCTATATGAATAAAGAAATCGCATCCAGTTTTCGCTTGCCCCAGCGTTGCACAGGTTTAAACCCCGACAAAAGAATAATTGTTTTAGAGACGACACAAAATATGTTAGAAAAGCGTCCACCGTGAAAAGACTAGTGGCGAATTTGCAGTCTCAGCCCATGTAGTGACAACTGGCCAGCTGTCAGCACCGGTGACATGTATGACATGTAACTTGTAACTTTTATAGATATCCGAAATAATAATGGTTCGTAATGTTTTCTAGGTTTTCTGTACAAAAGAATTTTTTATGAGAGTAAATTTTTACGATGCCGTCACAGAAAACCGACACCCTCAAGTAAGCATAGTTAACATTTTAAAATAAAAAAATGTCAATTTCTTTAATTATGCAGAAATATTTTTTTGTGATATTTAAATAAGATTTATTTAACTAGATAATGCGTTACAATAAAATATTCAATCTATTAAATACCTTTTTTCTGTTGTTAGTGTAATTTTTTCTATGAAGATTTATATATAGAAGTATAACTTCTAACACGTGTACATAAGTACACACACATGTTTTTTTGGTTTTGTTTTAGAAATCATTTAATCTCATGGATCGCTGTTAAAATTAAAAGCTTATAATATATACAAAGCGGTTCGGTGCGGGGTGTGGCTAGCATAATGTGCGCGAGCCTTTAAATTGTTTAGGTACTTTGACTTATGTATTTATTGTATATTCTACCTATACAAATATAATGACGAGGAATAAGTGATACCTGTATCTTATATTCCATAATAAACATATTTTTTTTTATCATCGGTTTTGTCATGATTAGGCACAACAATATGTGTCCACCCTAGGGATGTGACTTAGGGCAAATCCGCCTCGAATATGATACAAACTTGTGATTAGTACCGAATGAAACAGTAATAATATTTTAGTAAAAGATGCAAAAATGTTACAGTCCACTTTGAACTTTACTACATCTATTTTGAAGGTCATGACGACGATTAATTCGTGAAACTTTGGGTCTCTGTGGGAATAGCAAAAAGTAAAATATTTTAATTTTATACTTTATTTCTTATACGTGTAAAGTTTATTGTTTAACAGCACATTTAACATTTATACTAAAAAAATATTTACACCTTAAAATATTGAGAAATATTTGTATAATACATTCTTTGTTTAATCTCATATAAAATATTTTGAACGCTATAAAATTATCAATTAAATACAAGTTTTGGGAAAAAACAAAAATCACTGGAAACAGATATCGTTTTACATCATAGCTTTTTATTTATTACTACCATATAGTTAGAATATATTTATACAAATACCACAATTTTTCAATTGACTTAAGAATTTACTAACAACATTACGCTTATATCTACCATTAACTGTTGGCACGCGTTTGGCACATTCAAAAAAATAATTACCTGTAGATTTCAAATTGAAATTGCTTTATCACGGCTTTCACACAGAAGCATGACGTATCGAACCATAATGAGCCCTAAGCTGGGTGTTTTAAGGGTGTATTTCCGACGTGTAAATTCTTGAGTTGCGGCAATAGTATTGCACCCGTAGCCAGAGTGGTTACCAAAACGAAAACTGCAAGCAACGCTCGGTCTGCTACGACGGCCACCTGAGAAATTAAAATCTTTTATGTTAATCTTCATTTCAGTATCAACTACGTTTTATTTCCATTAAGTTGTTGAAGTGAAGAGAAACTAAAAATATTAATAAAACTGTACTGTTTTATTAATATTTTTAATTATTCACAGTTAAAAAGTAGATATTTACTGTTTTATATGTTTTAGACACTACAAAGCTTTTAGATCTTAGAACTTTAATTCAAGCAAAGAACACTGAATTTTTCTTTAGGGATTTAAAAGTAATTACTTTTTCTATTAAAGCATTTACTCGACCAACTACCAAATATTAGTGCTTAGAATCGTAAAATCAAAAATTTTGGATATTTCGATTGCTTTACAGGCTGCTTGGTCTGTCTTTGACTGGTATAGTATCAGTGTTAGCCGGAGTTTAATGCAAAGATCGTTGACTTGCCCTGTAAACTATATATTTATACTTTGATTACAGATCTTAGTATTTGTATTTTTTAATTGAGTAATTTATAATGTTCTTTAAATTAAAACTAAAGAACAAATATTTATACGAATGTGAAGTCGGTTGATCTGGTAAACATTTCTCAGTATATATCCCTTGAATAATGGTTGGCGACGTTATTTATGTAGAGCATTTAGCGGACCCAGCTTCAAATCCTTTGTTATATTTAGTTGAGCATAGTGTTGTTTATAAAGTAGTCGTCGTAATAAGACTGATATTGTTATAATACACCTATGTGCAATTTCATATCAAAAAATCAATTAACATTATTTTTCTTAAGGAAAGTTGGAAATTGATAATGACGTTCCACTTCAATATTATTTTTCTCATAATATTAATCTTCTTCTCAAGACGAGCTGTATGTACCCTCCTAATCTTCAATACGTTGAGTTTTATTTTTAGCTCGATTTAAGGTAAACATGAAAAAGGCTTAAAATTCTTAATAACAATTTTGCTAACAGCTCCAATATGCCAAGTTTCTAATAGTTATACTTAAAGGGTTCTTATTAAAAACTATCGAGGTTTGTATCATTTGTTGAGATTACGTATATATAGGAGGGAGATATTCTAAATTTGGTATCACTTCTTTTGACTTGGTATAACTATTGATAAATCATTAGATAGAGTTTTAAGTGGGCTAAGTTTACCGTGAAGTTAACCTAAATATCCATGTATTAAGAGGGAATTATCGTTTCGATACAAGATAAAGTGAAGTGTTCGTTAAGGGTTCAATTGGATTAGCTGCCAAGTGCCGATAACCCTAATTAAGGCCGCTGCATTGGAAAAACCTTTCGCTATTTCCCTAAAATTGCTTTTTGCGACATTTCACATACTGACAAAGCATATTAGTATTTTGCTTATGATTTTACATTTACCTTGTCCAAATTTTATAAAATCGACAGTTATACTTAACAAACATTTTATTCAACCATATTTTTATTCTATCATCAGATAATATTGTCATCATTATCTTGATTGATTAGTTAAAATATTCTTTAATTTGTTAAAGTTAAAATAACTTAAAATTACAAATTGAATTTTTAGGGTCGGAGAGTTAGATAGGTGTTTGAAAATCGAACTCACCTGCTTCCACTCAAGGTTTGCTCGTTCCATTCTCTCATTGGCTGCTACGCGCTGTTCGTGCCTTGTGGTTGCTTCCCGTATAGTACAGCCACAGCACACGCAACGTGGACAGGCGCCGATACAACCCATGGAAACTACGTCCCCCGTTATTCGCCCTGGAGCTGGACCCAGGTTCCCGCAATCTAAGATTAACAAACATTTTATTGCTTTATTTATATTCGATGATAATTATGCGCCGCAGTTTCAAAATACCGTAACTTTTTTTAGCTCTTACCTTATAGGTTAAGTCAGTCATCTTTCTGCATAGTGTCATAATTTTTTTTTTATAGACAAGTAAGTGCTCAGCGTATATCTGTAATTTTTTGGTCTATGACATACCGGTTTCGTCTTTATGTTTTGTTTACAGTATTGTTTGTGCACAACTAGTTTACAAATTTAGAACTTTTACTGGGTTCTAAATTTGTTACTACCAACACTGGGAGTGAGAAAAATTCATAGCGAAACTATAATTTTGTTTGTTAAGTTATTGCTATATTAAATTAAAGTAATACACAAATTTTAATACATCCTATAATTGTATAAATGATTGGCTATAGAAATTGTTTTGATTTCTGTTTGTATTTAAGTTCCAACTGCCGGATAGCCATTTATATAAACAGGAGATTAGAGGAACAATTAATTTATTAACATCATAAATAAATTCCAAAAAGCACTTAAAACCGGTTAACTTGAGCTTATGATATTCTGTAGACACTATAATTATTCAAACTCCGCTATCCTAATAATAAGTATCTATTACATATTTTGTGGAGAAACTGAATACTTCATAACGTTGAGAAATTAACAAGTTAATGTCTGGTAAGTTAATTTACTTCAGTTCATGTGCTTCGAATTAAAAAAGTAGGTTATTTATTTAATAATAGAAACTCACTGAGATGGTTGTGATTGTGCCGCGAAAAGCGTGGAGACGATGTGGGAGCAGAACCCTCGCAATTCACTTCTGCCTTCAGCCTGGATCCCGTTCTCGGGTTCACTTGCACCCCACCACCCGTTGTTACCATGCTATCCAACTGTAAATCAACAAACTCTTTACAACATGAAGTACACTCTAATATAGAGTATGTGCTCTTTATAAGGGTTAAAGGTATGAGAAATAATTACGGACCTTTCTTCAAATGTGTTGTTAGTACTATAAAATATTATTGCATAGTTCTACATTACAGTAAGGTATAGTCCTAATTACTTCGTCTATATTTCCTTTGACTTAGTAGGTAGGTAGTGTAGTTTAAATATTTAACAACGTGACCTGAGAAACCGAATTAATAATGATACCTTGTTTATTTTGATCGTATTCAGGTCGTTAGGAGATAATTGTGTTAAAGTAGCTTTCAAAATATATCTAGGGAGTTTCAGTTCAATACGCTTTAATGATGCGACAATAATGCTCATTTATATGAAAATTGCTTTAGGCTGTACAGAGTTACTAATATAAAGAATTCAGCATGTGATTTAATTATGATATTTTTAGTTTTTCTAGATATTTATTTTCTCACTTATTAAAATGATTCTGTAAACGCCTTAGGTATTATCGTAAGTAGCTGTCAGTGTATTGAAAAATATATCTACTAATATTACATAGGTTTGTAGAAACAGTCGAACGAAAACGTTTCTTACGAACTCCGCCTTAAAAATAAGAGATGCCTGTTTGAGTTCTAGAGCTTGATAATGCATATTAAAAAGTCAGCGACAGCATATATTTAACGTTTATATTTAAACCACAAAAAGTAGACCTACGAAGTGGGTTCGGGTCAGCTATTATAAAAATAATAATAGCTTACATCCGAAATAATGAAATGATGCGAAAACCACAAATATAACATCGAATTCCAGTACACAAAACTTACGTCTTATATGATTAATTTATAAAAAAAAACACTTGATAAACTTTATGACATCTGTAACCCTGAAAGACAATTTAAATTAAACTTAGAAATGATTTTTGAGACGAAGTTATGGACTACGGAAATCTTCAATCAATACCGCAAAGTTCGCAGGTAATTCGGGTAGATTTTTCCATTGCAAACTTCAGAGAAATTTACATATTTACCTTCGATGTGAAGGTTGAATTTAACAATTTGTTTCGTATTCAAAATTTTATAGAATTTATGTATTTTATTAAATTGGGAAAATAACACAGTATACTAATTTTTGGCGTAAACGTGAGATCGATCAAACCAATCATAGCTAATCTTAAATACATATATGTGTAACCTTTGGAGAGTCTGTGTCGAAGTTGATACACAGCATGCGCGCGAGTCGTTGTAGCACCAGCTCTCGTATCACGGCCGGCACCGGTTGCCCTCTCACTCCTCTACGAACAACACTACTATTTACAAACTCCATTCATGTCGTTATTAATAATGTACAAATTGTTTGTAAAAAGCATGTATTCAAAAATAATATTAACTGAAATTTAATCACGGTATGGAACTAAATGGTGTTAAACAAATCATTCCTCAATGATTAGGTCACGCATGTTGTTAATATTTATTATAATGAGGAAGCAATAAATTTAAAATTAAAGAAACACTTATCTTGAAAACTCAGAAGCTATGCTTTTAAAAACTGAAAGTGTAGAATCAATACAAAATTCAACGCATTATCAATTCCAAAATCTGTCATACGGTCTCTCTGTCTCGGATAAAATTAAGAACGCTTTTATCCACGACACTGGAATTATATGACAACCTAGGATTTAATAGCGATGAATAAAAATAATGATGAACATGTCAAATAAGTAACGACTTATGATCTCTCAAAGAGAGGCAAATGAAAGCACGTCAAAGCTTTTAAAGTGACGAATTTTCTATATAAAAGAAAATGTGTATGAATTGCTTATTAAATATCAGTAATGAACTGAAATTGTGAACGACAAAAATGCGACCGGAAAACAGAGCAGATACAATTCTGGATCTGTTTCATTTATTATTTATCTCTGTAGGCATCGAGGTCGTCGGCATTTAAAAGAAGTCGGTACTATTCTGGGATCACATCCAGAATCTTTTTCTTAAATATATGGCCGAATTCAATATATTAACATGACGTACCCAACTTTGTGTTTGATGTGCTGGGAAACTATCAGCTATTGGTAAAGTTTAATTAAAGATTTCCCTCAAATATATGTTAAATAAAGTAGTACATATATAAAATAGTCTTGCCTGTATGATATGTTAAGAGTAACAACTGAGAGGGAAGCTGAAAAGGAAACCAAACATGTGCTTACTCCATAGTACAGACCTGAGGAGAGATTTGGACGAATTAATTACGATCAATTATTCGTTGCATTACTATATTAAATGTAGCACTATAGGGGGGAGGGGTCTTTGATTTTCTTATTTGGTGATTACGTCAACAGAAATTATTAACTGTTTTATACATAGTACCCACACATTGTCTATGCTTACGAAATGCACCTTCGAAAATTATTTTTGAGGGCTTTGCTTACTTTTGCTGACAAGAGGAGGGGGGATAAATTGCAGTAAATCTGCTTACGTAATATTTGATCGGCCCCTATGACACAATTCGTGAAAAAAAATATAGTAATGTCTTTGACACCCGAAACGTTACAAAAAATCACGAAAAACTGTCTTAGGCTGTGTAAATAAGAATCGACTCCATCTTTCAAAAAATATATTATATTAAAGGCGATTTTTTATCATAAAACGGCCGTTATTCATGAAACGACTTAACGCCGCCTTTAGTAACCCATACCAACGGCGCTACAACCTTTTAGGTCTGGGCTTCAGATTTCTGTATGTGTTCCGTGATCATTTCTAATAGGCAAGTAGGTGATCAACCTTCTGTGCCTGACACACACCGTCGATTGTTGGTCTAAGGTAAGAGTTGCGCGTAGAAACCACTAGGCTAACACTGCACCTTTATTAAGTACCACATTAAATAATGAAATATGTTCACAAAACTTACTTATTAGAGGCGTTTTCTCCGTTGGAGGTAAAGTATCTCTTATTGTCATAAGAAAGACTGTCATCGAGAGTAAAGCGCTTATACCCAGTGTCACTTTTTCTCCGGACTCCGAAGGCACGTAGAACACTAGCAGAGCTGAAAATATTCAACCAACTCAACCACTTACATTGAAAAATATTACCTTAGAATCTTTTCAATTTACCATAATCTATAGTGATAGAACAGTAGTTCCTGAACTTTATTTGTATTTAAGACATATTAAATGTACTCTATTAGGCTTTATGTGAAGTTTTAAATTAAATATATATATATGTATATTTTGGAGTGGGTTCAATATTAACGGACCACGTTCAAGCAACGCCCAAACTATGTTATACAGAACAGTACATAGTGCATGTTCCAAACCAATTTGAAAACGCTTCGAAGTTTGAAGCATTGTCTCAGCGATATCCAAGTGCTACACACTCCGATTTGTATGGTATTATTATAGGTAGTCGGTGGTATTACTATACAACATTTGTATTTTTATGTTAGGTACGTTAAGAAATTTCATATAAAAATGGATAGAAAGAGTAATAAAATATACTCCTTTTCCCGTCAGAACGAAATAACAACCGCGACTATTGATTTTGCGTTATAAATAATTATACCATAAGTGGTACTATTACCTTTGAATAAGTAAATTACAAGTAATTTCCTGAAGTTAAGTTAACGACTTACCTATACCATTTATGAGAAGGCAGGGTAGTATGAGATTGAATACGTAGAACATCGGTCTTCTGCGTAGCTTGATGACGTAAGTGATGTCAGGATATGGCTCCACACAGCAAGAGTAATATTGGTTGTGTTTAATGGCGTCGAAGCTAACGAGATCAAACTCACCGTTGGTCTGATAATTCGTAGTATCGCCTGCATCAAATTGTTTCTGGATATCCAGCTAAAATTTATAACCATTTATTATGATTATGTGTATGTGTGAAACTATCATAACATTTTCCTTAGCGACAGACAAGTGATTGTTGCTTTTGTTTATGTCTTAAAATTAAACCATATACATAGTTATGTAATTGACAATGTCATAATCTTTCGTAAAGAAATAATATTGTAATATTAAAATTACTTCTAATTCTATGTTGGTTATAATGGAAATGTTACAACTATGAAATTTTATAAAGCTTTTGAAACTGTTTTGAATTACGTAACAATTAAAAATTTATTGAGAAGTTATAATTTCACTGACCGCATCAAGTAATTTAAATTTGCTGTCTCAAAACTTTCTACAATACACTCTGTATTGAAGGAATAAAACTGGATGATGCAAAAAAGCTTAATTTTTTAATAACATATAGTTTTAATGTGTACACGGTACTACAACGAAAATAATGGAGAAGACGACCGTCAACTGCCATTTTGACATGAAACATAATAATTTTTTTAAATTAATTATATACTTAAATTAATAGATGGTTCTTTTATCACTAGGTGGACGGTAGAAGAAGCTAGAAGTTAGGTTAGGAGATAGTTAAGGCACTGTCACCTACCTAATAATTTTCTAAATTATAAAAAAAAACTAATCTCGCAAATCAAACAAATAATGTACTGTGTTGTATACTATTTGACCCAGTTAACTTCGTACCCCCTTCATATATTTATTTTAAAACTTAATTTTTTATAAAACCAATATTTCTGGCTCTATAAATATATGACAAAATTCAATTGTAGTTTTTAATATATTTCTTTATGCTTTTGTCAAATACAAAAAGAAATAGATATCTTGTGACCTTTTCTGCTACAATAAACCAGAAATATCCTGGGGATGTGTACTTACTAACTGAGTTTACAAACGGACTGTTAGTATATCGTAGACTTGAAACGATCTCTTCAGAAATTCATTTGGGAATATATACATATCAGCAGTTTATTCAAATTATCGAGCTATCTCTTACGAGCTCAAGACCAGAACTACATTTATTAAGTAATTAAATAAATTATAAATCAATGACGCGAGTAATATAAAATAAAGGTGTTACCACATTCAATTGCGTTATTATCACAATTATAATAATAATAATAATAATTTATTTATTGCAAGAATATAGTACAAATGCTAAGGTGATACAATCATAAATCGTTCGCATATTCTGCCACACACGATGGCGCGCAAATTCGTCCCAAAGAATTTTACAATATTATTCAAAGCCAATTCCTATATTATCCAGCCTATTATATTATATACATTTCATCATTAACTTTATATCATTTACGGTGTTTCATGCAAATAATCATTTATTGAATAGTAAACTTTATCCAAAAGCAATTCACTAAGTCGCTTTTTAAAGAATCTAGACGGAAGATCTTTTAATTCTGTAGACTTTAATTGCCATATAAAAGATGTCTGCTTCTTATGACTTCTACATTAGACTTAAAAATATGTATGTTTCTGTGCACGAATAAGGATATCTCTAAAATATAAATACATGGAAGAGATAAAATTTTGAGCTTCTTAAATAAAGGTACGCAACTATCAAGACAGTTTGCTCCACAAATTGCTCTAATACATTTCTTTTGAGCCTTAAATACCCTATTTACTTCGACTGAATTTCCCCAAATTATAATTCCATATCTAAGTATAGATGAAACATATGCATGATAAGCAGCTAATACCGTAGCATGGTTAACAGTTTCCCTTAGTCGTTTTAACACAAAAACAAAACTGTCTATTTTGTTCTGTAATTTTTCAATATGTGACTTCCAACTACAAAATTTATCTATCGTTATACCTAAAAATACACACTCGTTCATTATGTCTAGTTTATTGCTTTTATATTGTAAGTCTAATTGTGTTTTAGAGTTATATATCTGAAAATGGATTATGTTAGTTTTGGTCATGTTTATTTGTAGATTATTGGAATTCATCCAGTTAATGGCGTCGTCTAGAGATTTAATTAAATTGTTTTTTAAGTCTTGTTCGTTTTTACTTTTTATTATAAGTGTAGTGTCATCAGCAAATAGTATACAGTTCTGGTGTATAGCATCTGGAAGGTCATTTATGTATGTTAGAAAAAGTAGCGGGGCCAAAATACTGCCTTGAGGTGTTCCGTACTCATTTTTCTTAAAATTGGATCTATAGGTTTTTTGCTCTAGTTTACAAATCTTTGTTATTTCCACATATTGCATTCTATTTTCAAGGTAACTTTTCACCCAGTTATAAGCATTACCTCTTATTCCGTAGCAATCTAATTTTTTTAAAAGTCTTTCATGACATACAAAGTCAAAAGCCTTTGTCATATCTAGAAAGATGCAACCTATAAGCATTTTATCATTTAAGCATTCAGTAATTTGTTTGACTAGGGAAAAGCACGCAAGGGTGGTAGAACAATTTTTTCTGAAACCAAATTGTTCTTTCTTTAAAATATCGTATGATAAAAAGAAATTCTCTATTTTATTATACATTACTTTTTCGAAAATTTTAGATAATATAGAAATTAAAGTTATTGGTCTATAATTAGTCATTTTTGTTTTTGCTCCTTTTTTATGTAATGGTTTGATAATTGATATTTTTAGTTTTTCAGAAAAGATTCCTTCTACTATCGATAGATTAATTATGTATGTCAGTGGATCAAGTAGGTATAAAGCGCATGATTTAATTGTTTTGGTATCTAAATTATCGTATCCTGTAGATTTTCTATTTTTTAGCGATGTAATAATTTTTAATATATCCGTGTTATTTATGGGGGAAAGAAAAATACTTTTATGATTTAGAGGGATTTTGGCTTCTGGCAAATTGTTTGTTTTATTTTTTGTAGGCAGTGAGGTAAAATAGTCATTAAATAAGTTGCATATTTCATGTGGTGATTCATATGTTTTGCTATCAATATTAATTGCTTCTATTCCTGAATAAAATGTCATGTCTCGTGTATTTGTTTTAATTACATTCCAGGCTGCTTTAGTTTTGTTTTTTGCGCAATTTATGTATTCTACATTAGTAAGCTGATGGGACTTATGTATACATTTTTTTAAAATAGATGAGTATATTTTATTATATGCAGATTTATTTTGTTTTTTATTGTGCTTATTTAAATAATATTTTAGGTATAACGTTCTTTTTCTTATACAACATTTTTTTAGCGCTTTAGTAAAGAATCTATTTTTGATAGGTTTGAATGTATTTTTAATTTTTTTTTGAATATATTATAATTATCAATTGAATTTGAAACCATAAAAGTGTCCCGATGTTTCGAGTGATGTCCCGAGGCCATGCTGGCTCGAAAGCACTTGAAACTTAAACAAAACTATGGGTCAAATGTACATGACACTGATAATCTACATTGATGCTTCTAGTAACATAATTACAACAAAACGCTTAATGCAATGAGAATCATCGAAGACGGAAATATTATTTGCACATTTTTTGGTATTTCAATAGCTGATGTTCAAAGATTCCGTCTAATATTGGAACATTAAACTTTACTTATAATATAAGTTGTTGTCAAAAATTGTAGGTACTTAATTAACCTGGACAAGTATAATTTTTGACATATTAGTGAACCTCTCCGTTTTAAGTAAATAAATAATTTAGTAAGTGAGCTTAGTAATTTTATTGTCCATTCGTCTTATTAATTAAAAAAGCATCAGTTAATTCATTCATTAGTCAAAGCTGAGCACATAAATTAGTATAACTTTAAATTTATGTGCATTAACTTCTTATAGTCTTAAAAGGGGTATTCTTTAGAATTTCAATGGTAAAGGAGTTAGCCTCGTTCAGGATGAATCGCTGTGCATTATATGACTTCCAAAGTTAAATGGAAATCATTTACGTCAATTACAAATTTTATAGTTTTAAGAAGAAAATGTTTTCCGACTAAGATTGCGGCATTACAGGTGACAAATGTGTTCCTTATGTATGCGAATAAGACTGAAATTTGTCATGTTATATTCATATCGTTAAACTAAATTAAATAAGAAAATGATTGAACCGGGAAAATATTTAATCTTCTTATATATATAAGTATAGACATAATGAACAAGTGTGTATTTTAAGGTAAGGTATAACGATAGATACATTTTGTAGTTGGAAAGCACATATTGAAAAATTACAGAACAAGATAGACAGTTTTGTTAAAACCACTAAGGGAAACTGTTAACCATGCTACGGTATTAGCTGCTTATCATGCATATGTTTCATCTATACTAACTTATGGAATTATAGTTTGGGGAAATTCAGTCGAAGTAAATAGGGTACTTAAGGCTCAAAAGAAATGCATTAGAGCAATTTGTGGCGCAAACTGTCTTGATAGTTAGGTAAGTTAGCGTACCTTTATTTAAGAAGCTCAAAATTTTATCTCTTCCATGTATTTATATTTTAGAAATAAAAATACAGGGAATTCGTGCACAGAAACATTCATATTTTTAAGTCTAATGTAGAAGTCATAAGAAGCAGACATGGGGAGAAATTGGCTGTGCCAAACATCAATCTGGAAATGTTTAATACTCTACACCTACACTAATTTAACAAAAATAAATTAAAAAGTCGTTAAGAGTTTATAGTAATTGAAATATTTTCTTGACTAAAGACAAAGGCTGTTTTGCTACAAAACAATTCAAGCATTTATTTTAATTACCTACTTTTTCTGTAAAACTGTCAAACATCACTGATTACTTAAAACAAGAAAATATTTAGTATTTTGCTACTTTCTTTTTGTTTTAATTTTAATTGCACACTGCTATTTAATATAATCAACTTAAGTATATTACATTATGTGGTGAATTTTTATATCCATAGACGTACTAGGGCAAGATAAGTCAGGACTAAACGCTGAGTAAGTTCCACACATCAAAAACGTATTAAATTTTTTTATGGTCATACTTAGCGCTAGAATTAATTCTTGTCTTATAACATGTCTTTTTTTAACTTATTACTTGACAAGACGTTAAAAAAAGATATAGACAGCCGAACTCAGACTCGTCCGTTTAATTAAATATCTATTATTTAAATAATTGTGTATAAAATAAAAACACAGTTGATAAACGAATTAATGTTAATGTGTTAGAATATAGCTGAACATTTTGATCCCGAATAATAATTCCATAAAAAATCACACCCGCATTAAACAATACAGTAAGTAATAAAATGGGCGTGAGAATGTAAAACTAAAGACTAAATAACTGTGTTTCATAATTTCTTGAAACGCCATGTTTGAAAATAATACGTAGATAATATAAATTAAATAAACAAACAATCTTTATATTTCTCACCAAATAAACCAATTAAGTTAAGTATCATTATGAATTTCTTTGTAATAAGAAGATTTCATTATTAAGTGTTCAAATCGTAAGCGCTTTACGCGTAAAATCATAACAGAGCTAATAAAGTTTTTACGTTATTGGCGCGTAAAAGTCGTAAAGCTATGTCCTGTTTGAAAAACAATTATTATTTGGATATAAAACAGTTCTCATTCGGAATTCAATCATTCAAAATTCAATGGAATTGTGTGCTAAGCCCCTACGTCAATAACGTGTTTCAGTACTCGGCAAATATCAACCACACACATGTAACGTATTCACTAATACAATATGATTTCAACAAAACGATATGTACTGGATATTTAAACTCGATAATAATCAATTTAAAGTGAGCCAAAGACCCTCTCAAAAACGTTTAGAAACTAATGAATTTTTAATTTACATTTCGGTCGAAAATGTAACTAAGATTTAAATAAAAAAACTATGGAAGAGCAGCAACGTATTGAGTCACATTTCACATTTTTACAAATACATACAAGATTTCTAAAAAAACTTGATGAACCATTATTTACAAACTTTAAATATAAGCCCGTACGTACGTACATAATAAAATGATTTCATAAGATTATTAAAATATCTCCTGAGAAAATAAACCTTTTAATTATCAGAAGTAATCAATAGCTCTAATTATGGGTAAATATATACATTACCTGAAAACCATCATAAGTCCACGAAGCCCACTTCATGGTACACAACTGTATATCGAATGGAAACTGTTCGACATTGATGTCGCATACAGATACGTAGATCCCATGACTGAGCCATGTTACCTCTCCTGTGTACTTCACTATCACGTTGGTATTAATGACAGCGGATCTGTAGTTTGGATCCGCACTAAAAGAAATTGTTATTACTTTAGAAACCAAACCAAAAAGCACCTTCCGAATATAAATATAAATATACCAATTAGTTTTCCCAATAGTTCGACAAAAATCCAGCAGTTGGCGTTGTTATGGAAGGCATGTTAAACCTTAAGGTGAACACAACCTGATAGGAACTATGCCGAGAATGTATATATATCTAGAAACTGCACTTATAATCATTAAAAACCATTTAATTGATAGAACATTAAACTTCATACACGTTAGTATGTTACTAATGCTTTATTTTTATATTATTATTACATAATTGTTGGATTTTATGTCAGGACGTTAAAATTATTGCCTCACTCTAAACTCAGAAATGCGACCACATATTATGCTCAGTGTCTCAGTGTCTCAATTTTAATTAATTATTTAAAAGTTTTAAAAGTGCACACACGATTATCGGTACGCCATTACTGCCTTTAATCTACCTGATTGGAATTTACCTAATTATGTTTCGTAAAAGTCTTGTTAATATATATATTTTACTTACTTATTATATAATATGATATCTGGTTTCCAAACTCTTTCGTACGGTATTCTTATAACACTAATGCCATCAAAGTCACTAATATTCCATCTGAGATGATGATCTGTCCATATTTGGGTGATCCAACAATTGGTCGTCAAAAGTTGATCCTTTTCCTCCTAAATGTAAAATACGCTGTCACAACTATACAATAGTCACATAGTTATAAAACTTGTAAATGCTTTTTAAGCCGAAATCTTTATGTATACAAATATCAAAGGTTGGCGCACATTGACAAACAAAGTTTAAAATGATCGAGATTATCATTTGGTCGTGGTCCTTTGGTCACGAATAAAAGTTCTTGCATAAATTTCTAACTTTAGTATTGTACCTACTAAATATGATATGTACTTCGACATATTCTTAAAAATATAAAAGGCACATACAATAAATAAAAACATACAATAAATACGTAAGAATAGCTACTACGAAAAGTGGGAATGAAAAATTATTAAACTACAATTTGAGACCTAGGCCTTTGCTAAAAAAGTGTGACGTAAGCCTGCTTTATTAGTCTTCTTGCCTCTTGACATGGAAATGCTTACATGTTGTTCTATCTGACAAATACTTTGAGCTTGTCGTTTAAGATGATCACAAGCTTGTAAATGTAAATCTCGATTTAACAAGGTTAAAACTTTATAAAGACAAAATATTCTCAGTAATAGCAATACATAATACTAAAAGGGAATGACTGCTAAAACATTTATAAAACCCTCTTGATATCCATTCCATTTGTTCCACTCTAAAAAAATACGAATCCCTGAATAAATGTTTTATGTGGTAAAATCTTTCTCTTTCAACACCTAACAAATTAAAGTCTTCATTTACATTGCTCAATTTGAAGTACAATTTGTGCACTATTTCAAAAAGTTAAATTAATATAAGAGTGTTTTCATCACAAAATATGCTGAGCCCCAACAAAGGTGAAATATTTGGACATATAAACCATATGATATACAGGTCAGTCATCAACTTAAAATCTCCGCTTTTTTTTCATAAGCCCTATGAATTTGTTTGTCCGCTATGGACTCCTAAACTACTTAACCGATCTGCACACCGTCTGCAGTTTGAACTTAAAAGATATAATTCTACTGTACGTGTGTATGTCACTGAACTCCTCTTAATCGGCTGGACCGATTTGAATGTTTTTTTAAAGCGAATAGGTGGAGCCCTGGATGGTTTAGATTCACAAATCAGCCCGGCAGATGGCGCTGCAGTCGGTACTTTCATACTTTGTTTAATATCCTATTCGCTTGAAATATCATGCAGGCAGGGAGGTGTGTCGGGCCCTCTAGTTACTTATATATCTACAGAATTTAAATTATTTTTTTCGAAAATCTTGAGTTTGTTTTTATAATATAGCACAAACGATACTGATTTTTATATTGTAGTACAATTTTGTCCTGAATCTAAACAAAGGCTGAAACGAAATTAGGGCTCAACGTTTTTCTAATTTAAAACTGAACACGTTTGAACCAAAATACAGAATTTAGATAGGAATTGTTCATAGTGATTCCGAGTTTATTGCGTTGCGTGTGGAAAATGAAATTTCCGGCGGTTTCTATGAAATTAAGCAGGCCGGAGACGGAAATTCGTAATATCCCTGAAATATTTGACATGAGTGAATGTAGCGCAAATGTATTTACTCTCGAATAGTTCCACGCTTTATCGTTGAATACATTTTTTCGATCGTCGATTTGATATTCTGTAGCAAATTTCCGTGTCGTTACTATATAAGTTAAACATAAGTAATAACTACGTAGTTTTTGTAGGAATAATTTAAGAATCAGTTACATATTTGAGAAATAGTACAAAAATGTATAACAATATTTGAAATGAAATTTGTTTATTGAAAGGGTTTGCCACCACTACAAGCGCGTTTAATTAGCGGCCTGAAAGATGTTCAGCCAGTTGATTAAACAGCTAGGCAAATGACTTGGATCGATGACGCTTCATTACTTGCCTAGCCTGTTGACTGTTAATTTCACTTTCTATTGTGTTTTACAAATTTTCATGAAAAACAACAAGTACAGTGGAAGAGAGTTGTGACAATAATAATGTGAATTTGACTTAGCAACTTAATTTTATCATATGTTAATCTTTTTTATTTCTGCCAAATAATGACTCTATCGTACGAATGGCCTAAGCATTAGCCAACCAGTTTATTAAATGTTGTAACAAACGCTACGGCTGAATCTCGAAGATCTTTCAGGCCGTTGATTAAACGGCGCCGTTTAGTTAAAAGGCTAGGCTGTTAATTGAACGGCTTATTAAGCTAGTTGGCTGCGACATATATATAAAGTCCAGCCACTTATTGGCAGGTGAAGCATTTAATTAAACACATAAAATAATAAATTGTGTAAAATTTGAAAACTTGAATTTTACAGTATGAACCTAACCAAACCTGTTTATTTGTATGAAATTTATATTGAATTTAAATTTATATTTCTGTGTCCCGTCTCACCTCCCTCCGACAAGCACGAAAGCTGGCGCAGAGTAGGAGGAAAAAAATAAACGGCTTTAATATAAAAGTTGGAGGAACTTTGATTCTGATCCCTACGGAGAAGAGACACTTGGGTCATGGTTCAGTGCACAGGCTATATTTAAAGATTTAAGTAGGCACCTAGTAGATACCGGTGACCGCAGAGCTGGTGCTTGCCTGGCTCAACAAATAAGTATCGCAATACAGCGAGGAAATTCCGCCAGCATTAAAGTTACACTGCCACAGTGACCAAACTTTTAAAATTTGTTTTAGTTTTCTATTTATCCGTTTTTAATTGTTATTATAACTTTGTAGAATATATGTATTGTTTGTGTAGAGTATTAAGAATTCGGCTTTCTGCTCATAAATTTTGAATCTATATTACGATTCAAACGTTTGACTCAGACTTGTCAAATAGATACTAATTGTCGCGCGCTTCCCCCCAACGCGCAAGCATCGAAAACGGTCCGCTCCGCGTTATAAAATTCCCAAAAATGGGTTTTTTCGCGAATTTCGCTAAGTACTATACATTATTTTAACCAGCTCAGTGCCGCGATTCTAACGATACCATTCTCGCCGTGATCAGTGGAAAATTCGGAAAAAGTTCATACAAAACATCAATATAACCTCGTTTTAGGTTACTTTTTTTTTCGGTTTTTCGCGTGCGGCGCGAATTTAAGATCGGTGACATAGTGACTTCCTAACCGACCTAACGAGACCACAAAATCCGGTCTGCTGGAAGGTTTATTGACTCTTTTAGTGACAACCCTGGCCCCTGCAGGGTCAGGGAGGAGATTAAGATGGCATCTAATAAAGCGGGGCCTGGGGTTACTTCCCCACCCCAAACACCTCCCCCTCTCCCCTCCCTTAGTGACATAAAAGACATTAGCAGCCTTCAACAAACATTTTTCAAGTTGGCAAATACCATCAGTGCCGCCATTAACGAAGGTAAAAGCGTTACAGCTACCAAAAAAAACTGATATCAAACGCTTCCGAAATCATAAAAGGGGCAGCGGCGCTCCTACCAAAACTTACAGATAAGGCAGTCAGATCATCAGACAGAAACGAAAATCACGCATTAAAAACTGAAATCATTGAAGCCGTTAAGGCCGAACTTACCAACTTTAAAAGTTCTATAATCACTAACCACCGCCCAATCACCTACGCTCAAGCAGCACAACCCCTCCACCCCTCCACCAACAAAAATCCAGCCCACACTTCCAAACCTTCAATCATCGTCTCTTCAAAAAAGGAAGGCGCCACAACAGCGGAAACTATCGCCTCATGGAGAGCAGGGGTCTCCTTCCGGGACACCAACTTTACCCCTGCAGAAGTTCACCCTGTCACCAATAATAAAATTAGAGTCGTCTTCGATAAACAAGAACATTTAGAAGCTACAATCCAAAAGATCGGCCCTGCACACCCCTCCATCCAGGCTGAAATCAGCAAAAATCTCAAACCCATGATAATACTCAAGGGCGTGGACAACTCAATAGATACGGAACTTTTACAAAATCTTATAATAACACAAAACGAGCCAATCAAACAACTTATAAAGGACTCCAACAAGGACATTATTTTCAAGTTTAAGCAACAAAACAAAAACAAAAACTTATATAACGCTATATTTACCTGTGAGCCGTCCCTCTGGCGCATCATTGTCAATCTGCACAAATTAAACGTTGACCATCTACGAGTACACGTAGAGGAATACACGCCTCTACTACAGTGCTTCAAGTGCCTTAAATACGGGCACACACGCAGGCACTGTAAATCCAACGACTCCTTCTGCTCCCACTGCTCCGCTTCTGACCACCAATACCGTGACTGTCGCGTCAAAAATGACGAAACTAAACTCTGCTGCTACAACTGCAGCAGCTACAACAATAAAACTGACAAAAAAGACACTACTACTCATAGCGCAACATCAGACCTCTGTCCGAGGAAACGTTTTATGGCCGACCGTACCCGATTGAGAGTCGATTATGGATCTCAGTAAGTATTCAAATCACCAACCCAACACCTCATACAACGCATCCACACACTCTACAATTTATTCCATACAAATTAACCTCGAACGGAGCAGGAACGCGCTACACGAACTCAACATTTATATTAATAACTATAAACCCGACATAGCTTTTATCACCGAACCTTACACTAGCAACACTAAAAGAACCAAACTCAACGACAATAACTACACTCTTTATCAGTTTCCCTCTGACCGCCCAACACGCGCGGCCATTGCCATTAGAAAAAGCCTAGGCTCCACACTTGGCCTCACAAGCCACTCCACACCAAACCTATACATTGTACAAGGTAAAAACGCACACACTGGCCACAAAGTTCATCTCATCTCAGTATATATAGAACCACGCAATGACACTTATAGCACTCTCGACACCTTAGAACAATTTTTACTTTTAAACCAAAACTCAACAAACATAATAGGAGGCGATTTCAATGGCTGGCACCAACTATGGGGATCAAGAACAAATAATCCTAGGGGTAACATGATACTTGACCTCATTATTAACAACAACCTTACACTATGCAACACAGGTAACACACCTACATTCCACACCATCACACTCAACAAACCTCGAGAATCTATCATAGACCTTACGCTCATCAGCAATAACCCTCATATTCACACTCACGACTGGCTTGTACAACCCAATATTGTACCCAGCTCAGATCACAACGCCATCACATTCAATATTACACTCAACAACATTAAACTCACACAAACCAAAAAACTCTCCACATTCAGATACAACACATCACACATCCGATGGGAGGACATCATGGATGAATTCACACACCTGATCAAGGACCAACTACCGCCTATCGACAGCATCGACCAACTCGACCCTCGCCAACTCGACACACTCGTCGAGGAAGTCACCGCGGCGATTCAGGGAGCATGCGATAAGGTCCTACCCAGGTGTCGCGGAGCTCCCAGCAAACCTCCCTTTTGGAATGACACTCTACAGCAACTCAAACATAAAGTAATACAGATCCACCATCGACTCTGTCTGAGCGTTCGCCGCAAACTACCTCTCGATGACATCCTGAGAGAACGTGACATTGCCAGGAAAGAATACTCTGACGCCTTCTGCAACGCTTCCACAGAACATTTCAAAGACTTTTGCAATAGACAAACTAAAGAAGACGTCTGGTCAGTCACTAACAGAATTATTAAAACTAAACCCCTATCCCAACCTCCTTCAACACTTTTACTCGATGACGGTACCTATACCAACAACACAGATGACACGGCACGTGCCTTGGTCAATAACTTCTTTCCCTCTGACACCCCTGACTCTACCGAAACACAACGATCTACCCGATCCCAAATGTCCCTTCCTCTAGACACCCAACCCGAACCTCCTTTCACCCACAGCGAAATCCTAAATGCCATCAAACACATGAGTCATAAAAAAGCACCAGGCGCTGATCATCTGACGGCTGATATATGTTTTCATTTCATCTCCCAGTTTCCCGAATACATCACAAAAATCTACAACAGGTGTCTGCTAACTGAACATTTTCCTCTCGCATGGAAACGCGCCATTGTAAAAATCATTCCAAAACCTAACAAAACTAATCACTCCCACCTCTCCTCTTTCCGTCCCATTGGACTTATTAATGTATTAGGCAAACTCCTTGAAAGACTTATAGTTGATCGTCTCATATTTTTCCTAGACACCCATAACCTTAATAACCCCAAACAATTCGGTTTCAAACAACAAACCTCTACAACTAAAGCCATACAAACCGCTCTTGACAAAGTCCGTCGGATGAAGGCTGCTGGAGAACATGTTGTCGCAGTCTCGCTCGACATCAAAGCCGCTTTCGATAACGCCTGGTGGCCTGCCATCCTACTCCGACTCCGTAAGTACAAATGTCCCTCCAACCTATATAATATCCTGCAAAGCTACTTTTACAATAGGACTGTTGAAATCAACTTCTCAGACTCCACCATTAGTAAGGAGATGACTCGTGGTTGTATCCAAGGCTCTGTCTGCGGACCGACAATGTGGAACCTCGTCATCGATGAACTCCTTGACCTTGACCTCACATCCAACTGCCACATCCAGGCATACGCTGATGACATATTTCTTATCATACACTCCCCCGACCTTCCTAAACTGGAAGAATGCGTCAATCAAAATCTCCACAAAATCAGCGAGTGGGGCAAAAGTGTCAAACTAAGATTCGGACCCGAGAAGACCACCATCACCGGCTTCACTAAAAAATCCACCCAAATCAAGGCACAAATGGACAACACACAGCTACAATTCACCAACGAGTTTAAATACCTAGGAGTTATTATTGACAACCAACTTAAATTCACCAAACATGTCACTTACATCACAAACAAAGCCAAAAACACTTTCTATAAACTCCTACTATTCACCAGGCCCACTTGGGGTATTCATACAGACAACATCAGAATCATTTATGAACAGGTCGTGGCACCCATCGTCACATACGCCGCAAGCATCTGGTCAGGCGCCCTTAAATACAAATACGTCAACAAATCCCTTCTCTCACTACAACGTCTTTTTGCAATTAAAATTATCCATGGATTCCGCACCAACAGTACCCACACATCCATAGCCCTTGCCCGACTCATCCCCCTCCCCGACAAAATAAAAGCCGTATCAGAAATCGAAAGCTCAAGACTTAACGGCACCACAACACTCCTACCCTCGGACATCCCACTTGAAACTCCGTCACATCCATCCACTTTGCTTCACCCTTCCGACAGGTCACCTATTACCTTTACGGAACTCAACTCCGTACAGGACTACGAAAACCATCAGGGCCCTGACTCGTGGCAAGTTTTCACCGACGGCAGTCGACATGACGATGTTGTAGGAGCCGCCTTTGTCGCCATAGACCCTAACGGTACCCCTTTGACTAAGAAATTTAAATTACACTCCACATGCTCCGTCTTCCAAGCCGAAATGATTGCCATCGACAAAGTGTGTCAATGGATCATAAATGGTAAAAATCACCCTTCCCAAATCACTATTCACTCTGACAGTAAGTCCGCACTCCTTGAACTCTCCAATCCTTATAGCCATAATAAAATAGCCGTCAGCATATTCCGCTCCCTACACCTTGCTAAGACCCAAAACATAAATATCAAATTTACGTGGGTCAAAGCCCATATTGGCATCCCTGGGAACGAGTTGGCAGACGTCGCCGCCAAAGCCGCTGCCACTCTGCGTAAACAACCCGACTTCTCATTCACCCCTATGTCCTTCATCAAACTCCACCATAAAAAACTACTGAGCGCTTCATGCCACAACTATTATGACAACACTCCCGGTTCCACCTACACTAAGCTACTCCTTCCCACCTACAATGACATTACCAACTTCTTAGAAGCCACCAAACTTACTTTCCCTATTACACAATTTCTCACTAACCATGCCTTCCACAAATCATACTTACATTGCTTTCACATTACCCCAGATGACCACTGCCCTTGTAACAACGCCGAACCCCAAACGTTCACCCACCTCCTTCATCACTGTCCCCGTTTCCAGCCCGATCGTCTGGACTACTACATAGTATGCTCCAACTACGGGCTTGACCCTCTAGACCCCCTCATCCTCACCAAAATTATCAATTTCCCTGAGGCACTTGAACAACTAAATAAATTAGTTAGCTATATCATTAAACAACTCAAGGGTTTCAATTCAACTTAGCCTCTCTCTTTGCAAGTTGAACACCCACTGTAACTGAAAATCTACCTGTGGCCAATTTATTCTATGTAATCATAATATGATAACTATGTTTCTTTAGTTCTTTAGTTTTAATTTATTAATTTTACTTTGTACATTTTATCCTAAGCATTCTTTCTAAATATCTCCTAGTTTTAATTGTTAATTGATCTTTACTTTTATTTCGATTTTATAATAGCATCTCAATTCAATTGCATAAAATGCTGTATTGTTCTACCTCTGAACAATTTATTCTATGTAATCATAATATAATTTAGTTTTAATTTATTAATTTTATTTTGTACAATTATACTATGCATTGTCTCTAATTATCTCCCAGTTTTAATTGTCTAATTGTTCTTTACTTTTATTTTGATTGTACAATAGCATCTTAACTCAATTGTATAAAATAGTGTATTGTTTTCGCTTTGGCCAATTTATTCCATGTAACTATGTTATAATCATGTTTTCTTTAGTTTTACTTTATAAATTTTACTATGTACAATTTATCCTAAGCATTCTTTCGAAATATTATCCTAGCTTTTAAGAATTCCTCCCCTCTCCACAAAAAAAGAAATAAATAAATAAATAAATACAAAAAAAAAAAAAAATACATAATGAAAATAACAGGAGAGGGGATGACGTAAATAATTATAACGACCTTTATAACAACTCATATATGAACAACTAAATAAAACAATAAAAGCTATGAGAGAAGGCGTATTCCGAAAGCGCCACTCTCATGGCTTTCCCTGAATAACTTAATTCAAAAAAAAAAAAAAAAATAGGTACTAATTAAACGAACTGTAGGTGAAAATTGCGAATGATTAAATTACACGATGACATAAATTACATAATTCAAAAGCGTAATTAATTAAACTGTTACAGGTAAATTATAGTCTGGATTTATTATTATAGGTTTCCAGGGTACGAAAATGGCATTGTTTTGTATTCTAAAATTTAACATTATTAATAAGCTTCATTCGTATTAAAATAAGTCTTAAAATATAGGTATTCAAAACTCGTGTTTAAAACACAGTTCATTATCTATCTCTGCGTCAAATTTTATCTCTGTAAATCTGTTCATAATTTTTATTACTTGTGGAGTTTTTTACTATAAATACAAATCTGTATACTGTATAGCGTCAAATATAGATAAGCAAATAATCTAAGTACAAAACTAAATACACTCTAGTACCACCTAATCATGTCAGCTAGCGATATGGTAGTAACTCAATATCAATATTGTTATTGTATCTATGGTTCTGTGTTGAAACAATTCACTAATTACAATTGCTTTACGCCCTGCAATCGACAATTGTTTGTGAAATTAATTAGAAACCAAGTAAATAATACTCACAACATCAATGATATGGTGCAAAGAGACCCCAAAGGTGACCAAGAGAGGTTGAGACGAGTTTTCCACTGGACGCACTGAAGGGTCATACTTGTCCATGAGATGTCGAACCAGTTGATACTCTTCATCGCATGAAAATACACCTGTTAAAATTATATAAGGGTTAGTAAAATGAACAGGCTTTTTCGTTTGAAATCTTATAAGCCGTAATTTGTCCATAATAATTTAATGTTTTTTGTTTAAAAAAATGTAATCCTATGCAAAACTACTTAGTACATTATTACGATCTTTTTACAAAATCTTATTTATTTACACTTCGTTACCTTATAAAAAAACATACATATAAAAAAGGTTACATAAGTTATTAGGCAACGGACGGCCTTATCGCTAACAAGCGATTTCAATTTTTACATTTTATTCGAGGAAATTCTGTTTTGCTCCAATAAAATGTAAAAAAAATGTGATCTGATGAAAAAAGATTTTTGTAATTGATGACCGCGACTTAATGGATTTTAACAAAATTAATTACTTTTAGCCTTATCTTTTGTATTTTAGAGTCTTAGTCCAAAACTGTAGTGATAAAGAAATATTACAGATAATAATAGAGCATAAAAAGGAACAGTAAAATCCATAGTTTTATGTGTAATTTCGTATACAAATTTGTCTAATCTTAGCATTTCTAGATTGGGCAGCTACTAATTCGTAGTATTACTACATGTTCTTAATAATTTTTATATCATTAAGTACTGACGGCATGAACTGCCATATTATAATCCTGACTAAAGAGAGAGAGAGTAAATCTAGCCATAGCACATCACCACCGCACATAGCGCATGTGCGCAAGCGAAAGCAGTACCAATTTTTTTTCATGCTCGGTTGATGTAATGTTTTCGTTTAATTTAAGTTTAAAAGGAATTTATATATTTGTATCTACTGTGGTGTAGCCCTTCAGGCATCAAGGTTAAATATACTGTTTTTTGGTGATTCCAACGAAATTTAAAGCCCGATATGCTTACAACCGGTATGGCCTAAGAAACCGGAAACAGATAATAAACCTACTTATGTGTTTGCATTTATAAGACATAGTTTCTAAGTACTAAGTACTCTAGTTTGTTTTAAATATCATTGACACTTTTTAATTTCTGTATACTATCTGGAGCTTTGTTCATTCTCTAAGCGCAAAATAAAAAATAATTGAAAACGAAAAGTTAATTATTATTCTCGTAATTAAATTGTTTAAATAACTATGCATAACCTGACAAAGAAAATTCTTTAATGTATATGTACAACCTATAGTACGACTTTTCACTCACAGAGCAACAGCCATCACTATTTGACTCGAAAAGACAAATGTTCTCAATTAAGATTTTTAAAGTTTTTTGTTTTCTCTAAACTAAATGCTTTTTGACTCAGCACCCAGTACAAAAAAAACAATGAAAGTAGAATGAAGATTTTATATATAACGCTGCTGTAAAAAAACCCAGTAGCTCAGGGCTAAACGTAATGTGTTAACCACTAAGATATAGAAGCTTAATTGAATGGAATATATAATATGTTCATACAATTTTATACGGAACTAAACAAGAGCTTTTACAGAAATATATATACAATAATGAAAAAAGTATGTGTTTTTGTTTACATTTGTAACATTAATGCATTTTGATATATTTGCAAAATTATATACATTTGAACATTTTTGCCCTTAAAATCTTGCAATATAACATTCAGAGTCCTACGTTTATTTGAATAAAAATAAAAGCGAGATCTCGTTGCTTGGGCACTAAATATGATTGATATATATAAAGAACCATAGTACACGTTATAGTAGGTAATATTATGATGGCACAGTGGTAGTCTCGATAAGATTACTGCTTAAGCCGCACTAGTTTTTTCCCTAATAGTAACTTTACTAGCGACAAACAAAAACTACCAGCTATATTTATCGCTAATTGGGCTCCTAGACGGGGCCATTTTTTCACGAAAATGTATATCTGCAAGGGTACTGGTAGCATCAGTCAGCATGTACGGCTAGACTATGCAATACTCGGCAATATTTTTAGTATGGCCGGAATATATTGCCAAATATTTTTGGTATGTCCGATGAATGTTTAGAGTCCCAGCCTTATGGCCGGAACCATATTACTGCTGTCTCTCTTTACGGCCTAAGTGCATCCCTTTTTCATTTCGTCTTTTTTTTCAGCCTTGAATTATCTAATGTATCACGCCTAGTGAAATAAGGTCAAATCCACATTTTTCGTAGTTTTTTTTGTTTTGAGTTTGCTTTAAAAACAATATAAGCTGCTGCAACGCGTATGAGTGAGTGTGTCATTGCAGCCATAAGTAGGTACTAGCCAAGCCAGGTATGTAGACCGTGTAAAGACAAAATAATGAGAATTATTATTGCCGAGATATAAATTTTGCATTAAAATGTTATTGTATTTTCGGGATATAGTCGGCAATGATGCCACATATTTCATTAAAAGTGTAGCCCCTGTAGAGGCCCCTTCAGAGAAGGATCGTCATGTATCATGCCTAGTACCCTACGCGTAACAAGCCGCGGCAAATCGTTTTGCGTCAGCGCTGAGTGACCACATATATCATTTTGTCGGTTTTAGTATTTTAAAAGTGACACAAATTAATGACATTGCTAATAATATCATTATAGCTCAACCTGATCTTTAACCTGTTTAACACAAAAATTATTAATTAATTATTCATAATTCATCGTTCATCTTAATTCTTTTATATTTACGCAAATAATGTTTTTATCATTTATCTATAACACAAATACTTTTTTTTTAAAGGATTGCAAAGTACTTTTTGTTTCTTTTGTTAAAGGCGGTAAATTATTATGTAATCAAAAAAAATATTAATACAATATGGTTTTTATTATTGGGTACTTGGATTAATTAAAACGATTTATGGCGAAAACCCCTTTCTCGTTGCCTGTCTGTGACAACTCTGAATGAGGCGTGAAGTCGGCAAACAAAACATCAAAGACAAATTAATTTACGTCCATACAATAATTATAAATAATTTAATACAGGGGTCTTTAAAAAATAAATTTAGTTTTAAATGCAAAAATCTTTGTTAATAAATGCTTATTATATTCATGTGAAATTTTAAAACCAGTCTAATGAATACTGAAAAACGTTTTTCCTTTGACATCACAGCACTTGAAAAATTTTATACATTTAAAATAATTCAATGTTTTAAAAATAAAGCAAACGAGTCTTTTATGCAATAAAAACATCGGTAAACCTCGACTAGATTTTCTAAGTACCACTGAAGAAACTAATTGAAACCCGAGCCACGGCTGAACAGTCTCTCGAAAATAAGGATTCAATAGACGAAGAAATCACTTCGCACAATGTAAATGCTTTTAAATTTCCTTTATTCGGTAATGAAACGAAATCTACGGTGTACCATTGCCCAGCAGCAGTAATTTGATTTCGTTTTCATTATTATTTGCTTTATTTTTTTATTTTCGTTTTCATTATATTATTTAAATACCTCTAAAATAATTAAATATTTCGATTTACTATATATTACCAGTTACTTAGTTTTGTTGAAAGCGTTTTCTTTGCCTGTAGGGACTTTGTCCAAATATTATCATTTGTAGCCCCTAGTTTGTAATTTAGAACGCGTTTTAAATATTTTAAAAATTTAATTCAGAAATCTTCTCTCGTATTTAAAAAGGTACAAATTAAACGATAAAAGTAATAAAAAATTTAGCAATATCAATACATTCGGTATGGATTAAATATTTACTAATTGCTAAATATTACTAAAATTATGTAACAAACCATTCTAGCACGTACCACGCAACTACCTACACTCTTTGTAATATTAAATTTCTAACAAAGGAAATCTTAATTTCAAAGTTATAAACAACTTTAAATCCACAAAGCGATACTTATACTGCATCTGAAGTGGTACAAAGCGTTCTTTGAAAATTTACCGAAATGCAGCCCTTTTTTTTCTCCTTCAAGCGTCTTTACACATGAAGAATCATTGAGGACCTCTAGGATGCAGGAAAAGACACTACAATAGCAATTCATTAAAGCCAAGTTTTATGAAAATATGTAAATTTTGATTACTTTAATTCGTGAAATATCATCATAAATATTTGAATATCCTTTTTAACAACATTACCGCGAGGCACTTTTACTCGTGCATTTTGAGTATCTTACAAATTACAGATTTTATATAACACATAACGATGTTTTTCTTTCATAATAAGTATTAAAGATTTCTATTTCCAGTAAATTCTATAAGATATTTCTCGGAACAGGCGAAGTAGGTATTAAAGTTGTATTTAAGTTTTCTTCTTTGAGCTCGCAAGGTACCTCCTCCACTTGTTACTAAAGAAGGTTGTAGAACAATAAAGCGTAGCTAAGACTACTTTAAAAGTTAAACCTTTGAAGGTCACTCCAGCGATCAAAGCTTTATTTAATGGCGAATTAATGATATAACATTGAATACAGTTTCATTGATTTAACAAATTTCACACAGAGTCAAACAAAATTAACGATTTAAATTATTATTATTATTTATTTTGTGAAATAGTAAAATCGACAAATTGATCATCCTGGAGATTATTCTTTTTAAAAAGTATATCCGTTTCTTTATGAGCACTGTTGGCCTAGTGGCTTCAGCGTGCGACTCTCATCCCTGGGGTCGTAGGTTCGATCTCTGGCTATGTACCAATGGACTTTCTATGTGCGCATTTAACATTCGCACGAACGGTGAAGGGAAACATCGTGAGGAAACCGATATGTCTTAGATCATGTGTGTCATGCACTGGAGGCTGACCATCTACATGCCTATTAGATTGAAAAATTATCATAAAACAGATTCAGAAATCTGAGGCCCAGGCCTTAAAAAGTTGTAGCGCCACGATTAATTTATTTTATTTATATCCGTTCGATTATACAAATCATAGAAAGGATTTTAATATTTAGATAAAAATTAAATGCAAAATTATGCTTATAACAGCGGTTTTTTGTTTTTAAATCTTAACTGAACTGTGATTAAAAAAACACATATCGGGTTGATCAATGCTTTGGATTATTATCAATGCTTTGGAGTAAACTCAT